TTAACTAGAGAGGGAGTTGAGAAATCATCTAAGGGAATGGGACTATGGCCGAGGACAAGTCAACATGGCGGTAACTCTACATAGAATCTTAGATGTTCCGAGATCTAGGTTCAAGGAGCTCAAACAAAGTTGTGATTGACCGGTTCAACATTGTCAAAATNNTTCTACGCACTTATGAGACCAGGCAGTGTTTATGGCTAAAACGAACACAACAATGAGAACCAGAAGACGGTTAAGGGTTGGTTGTGTGACATATGGTTGTATAGGTATACACTAAAGTTCGACGGTTAAAAGATATCAAATCTACCTATTGACCGAGTATATCCGACATATGTTAACTACGGAAAGTTCAAAGGGAAACCTACTTATCTAGATGCAATTAATCCTTACTTGCAAAATCACATAGCTTTCATCTATGATCTTTCTTGATACAGCCATTCCCATTCATGTGGGGGATTGTTGGACTTTAAGCCATTGGGCTTTAAAGTAGAAGAAGTGTGAATTGGAAATGGAAGGAAATAAAATGGAAGGAAAATGAAAATTTTGAAGAAATGAACTTTTGTCTTGCACTGTGTCTCTCATTGGTGAGGGACAACCACATTTGTGTGCTTATATATAGAATCACTTCTTAAAGCTCTTAAAAGGAGTTGAAGAGAATGAACCCTCGCGCCGTCGTCGTCGCTCGCTCGCTCGGCTCGGCTTTGGTTTTGGCTTTGGCTTTGGCTTTGGATTTGTCAAATGATCGATAAGATTATTTTTTGGACAAAATTTATTTAATTATTTAATAATTAATTAAATGCCAAGTCACTGCTAAAAATACGCCAGAATCTTGCAGAAGATTCAGAGAGCCTATCTGACCGCGGTTCTTCCGCGGTCGCGGTGGAACCGCGGCAGGCAGATTCAGAGAGCCTATTTGACCGCGGTTATGCCGCGGTCGCGGTAGAACCGCGGCAGGCAGCGTATTCTTCTGAAAAGGCACTTTTTTCAAACACCTCTTCTGATAATTGCCTATAAATTCTTAGGCAAGGCTCCATTTTCTACACGAAAAACACTCCAGAACTTCTTTCTTTCTGAATACACTGCATCCTAATTCGCAGTTCCTCTCTCTCAAATTCGTAAGTGTGATTTTGCTCCGTTCTTTGAGTTCGTTGGTATCCTGTAGTTTGTATTGTCACTGTTGCAGGAAGGTTTATTCTGTTTTATCCTGGGAGGATTTAATCCATTACCTTGGCAACGTGTGAGGGCGTTAAAATTCCTTAAGGACGCACAAGAAAATTGTGGACTCGGAATATTTCTGATTCTTTATTGTTTTCTAGATTTCTTTATTCTTCTAATAGTTTTGTTTTCTGATTTTTGTTTTAACACAGTAACGCTCACAATACCCACTCTTTTTTTATTTAAAAATAATGGGGGTGGTTGGATCAGTTCAAGTGCGCCGGTGAGATACCTGATAACTTTGTGTATTAGCAAGACATAAATGAAGAGAAATCACTTAATTCACTTCGTTATTTGCTAGGCTAAACTTTTGGATGCATTTGTGGCCACTTTACCTCATCAAGGTACATTGTTTTCCCACCATACAACTAGCTGACAGTTGAACGAAAGAAAGAAACTACAATTACCCACTTTTCCTCAATTTATTAAATGGAGAAAATATATGGTGTTTCATCACTTTTTGTTTGTAAATATAGTAATTTAATTTTGCCAAAGAAACAGTCCAAAGAGGGTACATCAAACAGCGAGGGTCAATGTGCCTAATATGCCTTATTTTTCTCCGCAAGCGGCGCGTTTTAGCACTTTAGTGGAAAACCAAACCAGATCTCTTATAGCTCAACTCTCAGAGGTCCCAATCCAGTGAACTTGTGACCCCCACCCCTACATTTCCTCCCCACTAAATTACACTATTTCTATTTTCTCCTCCCTTTTTTATTTTCCTCTTTTTTCTTTCATTTCTCTTTATCTGCAAAATAAGACCTAAGCAGCTGCAGACCCTCCAAACACTTGAGTTTCCCATGGATCCCACCCTCAAAAAGCAACCTAAACCTACCCCTTTCTCCGCCACCATTTCCACCACCAACTCCAAACCCCACCACCCACCAGATCCCACCACCCTCCCCTCCCCCACTGTTCAAAACATCTCAACTCACTTTTCCAAGCTCTATGCAAATCACAAGATCCTCAAATCTACCTCAAAAAGCTCATCTGGGGGGCATAGACATCCTCCTGTTGACACTCATTTACAGGCCAAAACTCTAGCTGCTGCTACTTCCTCTGTTTTTGATTCCTCATGTTCTGCTTTGACTAAGTCAAAGAGTTTACACGGGAGTAGATATGTAGCAGAGGGAGAGAAACATAACTCTGTTAAGGATATTGACAAAGCAATTGTTTTGCATGAAAAAGCTGAAGTCAAGAAAATACCCCACAAGGAAAAGAAAGAGGTGGATGTTAAAAAGGCATTAGCTTTGTTATCCAAGAGCCAAGATAGTGACCAGTTGAAAGGGTTTCAACAAGGGGTTGATAAAATTACCAAAAGGCCATCTTTTTCTTTGTCCATAAATGGTGGAAGGAGGAAATCATTCAGCTGTTCACAGACTGAGTTAGCTAATTTCTTTTCTTGCAGTGGTGTGAAAGTTGTGTCCGTGGATATGCCACCTTTTATGCAGATTCATGCTGTGGATTTTGCAAGAAAAGCTCATGATAGCTTGGAAAAGTTCTCCTCTAAATCACTTGGATTTTCCCTTAAAAAGGTAAACACTTGGGAAAAAGTTTTAATGATTATGCATTGTTGGTGATTTTTGATATTTGAGCTTTTAGTGAATTGAATTATTTTGTATAATTGTGTTTTCTTGATTTTCAGGAGTTTGATGGGGTATATGGACCAGCTTGGCACTGTATTGTAGGGACCAGTTTTGGCTCATTTGTCACACATTCAGTAGGTGGTTTCATATATTTCTCCATGGATCACAAGCTATATGTACTCCTGTTCAAGACTACTGTACAAAAAGCAGAATCAAGCTGATATCTTTGAGGTGAAATCCATTTTAGTATAGGGAAATTTTTGGAAAGAAGTTTGTTATCTGTCTTTGTAGTTTTGTACATTAGCTTTGATTATCAAAACAATGGTAGTTCTGCTCACAGTTCAATAGTGTCACAAGACCCTTTTCTCAGCACCCCAATCCCTTTAACCGTGCCCTTAAAAACCCTCCAATGAGGGAGTGTATTGATCATTGGAATACTGTGAAACAAATTGTACACTGTTACATCTTGGAAAGTTGATAAAGTATTTAATGGTGGTGTCCATGGAGTGATTGAAGTGGACCATCAACGGTTCAGATGCATATAGCTCTTTGCTATGTTGCACATACTCTTCAAAATAGTTGTCGTACCCGCGTCCGTGTCACATGCTTCACATACCCGCGTCCGTGTCACATGCTTCACATACGCACCCATATATATTTTCGGAGAATCTAAGCAACAAAGACTGTTTGAACTTGGGAAGTAAAGAGGACAAGAGTTGTTCTATGGATTTTTGCCTATTTTCCTCTACAGTGTCTATTTTCCTCTACAGTGTTACCAAGTGGAGTACTAGAAAGAATAGGGATGTCTCCATTTTATGATTTGAAAGACTGATGATGAAATTGAGGAGCAGTGTTCCACTGACTTTAGTGCACAGTCTACTGACTTTAATTTTCATACGTATTATCTTGTTAATGCTGAAAAAGTTATCACTTACCAATGGAGTGGTAATGCCCTTTGCGTGTTCAAACCGCCAATCGATTATTTCGGTACTGTACTGGAATTCAATAATTCATCAAGCCAGAGAGAGAAATCATTTTTCTATTCTCTTCTTGTTTTGTTCTTGGTTTAGTGTGTTCTGTGTTACTTAAAATTGGAATTATACAAGGGATTGTGATAGCTTTTGGATTTTACATTAGTGCAATCCGTTCTGTCTGATCTTGTTCTTGCATCAGCCTTGGAAAATTATATTGGAGTATCAGTGTACTTACTGCTCCTTTGCCAGTTCAATGGGCTATGTTATGATACTTAAAGAAATAAATTGCAAATAAAAGGTAACTAAGGTAGGGAGCAAACATGCCAAAAACTTTAAAAAATGAGTTACCAAACTCAGTTTTCAACTATGAGAACAAATGCGTTTGGACTGAAAAGTAGTGGAATCAACCAAACATCATTAGAGAAATGCCGTTTCAGTTTGTAGTAGTTTTACAATCGTTTGCATAAACTGAGAAAGTTCACTCTTCTAAACACTGTTATGTCTGTTTCCTTATTCCAAATGGGCTTTTGCGGAGCACATACCCTCACCATTTCCTGAAGTCCAATGCTTGGCCCAAAGCAAAATTCTCATTGGAATAGAAACAAACACGTTATTTCTAGCAACTCCAACTTAACCAGTGTACTATTACACCAAGGTTTCACTAGTACAACTCTTTGCAAATAGTAAAAGAAAGAAAAAAGAACAAAAGAAAATATGTATCGAACTAGAGCAAAAACTTGAGAGGCTAAAGCGGTCGAAAACTGATCTGATGTCAATAGAAATGAGATAAAGTTGAGTTTTCTTTGGATTTTGTTAGAGTAGTAACTAGTTGTTGATTTTCAGGCCATGACTTATAATCTGTCACGTGATGTTTGACAAATGATACAAGCATGGACTTGATTGAAATGGATATGTTTTGAACAGACTACCAATTTAGCAAAGAAATTCAATTTCCTATGATGCAACCAAGCAGTACGTCTCCAACGCTACAGTATTTATAGTACAAAGAATATCAGTTGTTATTATGCTTTAATGTAATATGATTACAAACAATCTATTTTTCCTAAGCCTAGAATACATCAAGTAGAAGAAAAAGAAATCGACCAGCACATTTGACTAGAGAAGCATTTGGAATTTTTTATGTTAACCAATTTCAGTAGCGATGGTGTATGTAGCTCCCATTGATGACAAGATGCGGGAAGCGAGACTCAGGTGGTTCGGGCATGTTCAGAGGAGAAGCCCAGATACTTCAGTAAGGAGGTGTGAACGACTAGTTGTGGAGGGAACGAGAAGAGGTAGAGGACGGCCTAAGAAGTATTGGGGAGAGGTGATCAGACATGATATGACGAGGCTTCAGATTTTCGAGGACATGACATTTGATAGGAAGTTGTGGAGGTCGAGCATTAAGGTTGTAGGTTAGGAGGTAGTTGAGTCTTGCCTTACTAATACCGCTGTGAGACTAGTCTGGTAGGGTTTTTGCCTAAGATAGCTAGTGCAATGTTGTGTCTTCCTATTTTTCAGTGCATGACCTATTTACTAGCTATCGGTTTTGCTTTACATCTTTCTTTTGTATTTCATGTTGTTCTTATTTTTGTTATGACTTTCTTATGATTTTTGTAGTGATACTAATATTGTCTACATTTGTCTTTTGTTCTCTTGAGCCGAGGGTCTTTCGGAAACAGCCTCTCTATCCCTTCGGGGTAGGAATAAGGTCTGCATACTCACTACCCTCCCCAGACCCCATTAGTGGGATTTCACTAGGTTGTTGCAGCAATTTCAATAGCGATCTGATGAGGAGCACTATGTAGAATGGATTGCGGGGATGTTCTTAGTTTGAAGACATGAGTGGAGAATTGTCGCCAGATTTGATCCAAAAAATGCAAAGGCCTTTTGTGCAAAGAGGTAGTGTATCATTTATTGATGCTATTGATCGCTACTTTTTGGTATGAGTGCTTAGTTCAGCTTCAAATAAAGTTATTTGGCGTGTAGAGGCAACAACGTCGCTTTGGCCGAGTGGTTAAGGCGTGTGCCTGCTAAGTACATGGGGTTTCCCCGCGAGAGTTCGAATCTCTCAGGCGACGTGCATATTATTTTTTGTCCTCTGTTGAAGAAGCTACAGACAAATTAAATAAGAAAAGAAAAATAAATGTGAATAACAAGTCTGGGAGATAAATGTTTTCCTACTGAATTCGTCCTAACATGGCAGCGTGGCGCTAAATTGTTAATTAGAATAGTATGTTTTCTCACTTATTTTTCCAGTTTGATTAGTGAGTAAATTTTTTTGTTAGACAATAAAATGATTACATTTTTTTTTATAATAGTTCGAAAATTTATTCAGAGGGTATTTTATTCATGAAAAATATTTTTTTAACATAATAATCCCACAGTTACGAAAAAGGAAGAGTTCGATTAAAAATGAGAAAGTGACTTGACAGAGTTAAAAAAGAGACATGGACTACTTTTAACGTTTTGTGACCCTGCAGATTCAATGTCATCGAAAGCTGTTTATAATGCTTAGTGCTAATAGTAATTTAGAATATACAAATATTTACATCAAGACTGAGACAACTGAAAGCATTATTCTCCCTAATTTAAACTACTTTATTTTTTTCTGATCATTTTGCTTGATTATTGACTTTCTTACTTGCTTTAGCGTTCAGGAATTTAGTGAATGTTTTCGTTTAGTAAACCTTGTGTTGAGTTTTGGATTATTGAGTTTTTGTTTAAGATGAAATAGTCTTAAAATGAGAGTGAATGGGAAATGAGATTTGGATTTGGATTCGGATTTGATCAAATGATCGATTGATTAATTATTTGGACCGAATTTATTTGTTAATAGTGAATATTAACGTGATATAATCCGTGTTTGTAATGGATGTTTTCTAATCCGTGTATTATGTTGCACCAAGAAAGCAACAAGATGCCTAGTGCACCTCCCACCATGGTCAAGTGCTCCTCCCACCAAGCAAATGTTCATTCCACCATGTAAGTGCTTCCTCCATGATATCCTAATGCTTGTTCCACCATGGAGGGGGCGAATTTCTCTCACATGACTGCTATAAATAGAGCAGAAGTTGTAGAGAAAGAAGAACACACCGGAAAAAAACACTCGAAACACTCAGTATACAATTGATATACACTCTGTATACACTCAAACTACACTCTGTATACACTGTGTATACACTGGAAAAACGAATTGCAATCTGATATCCTCTTCAGTAAGAATTCAACATCGGCTATACATTGCATTCCTTCCTCTCAGAATTTTCATTCGACTTCTGAGTTCTCCTCCCTTGTTCTGCATTGTTTTAAAACTACAAACAAAGCAACTGTAAGTATGATTTGCTGCCGAACTTTGCATTCGCTAAAATACTGGGGTTTGAAGTACCGCTACACCAGTGTGTAATTCGTTCTATCCTGGGAGGAAATAATCCATAACCTTGGGTACTAGGAGGGGATTAAATTCCTTAAGGAAACACTGTGAATTCAGTGGGCTCGAATTAATTTTTGTTTCAGTTATATCATTTATATTTACGTATGTTACTGCTGTAGGTAGCTGATAAAGAGGATAATATATATCTAAGAGTGGAAAAGTTAAAACTTGATCTTCCATCATTCCATATTTATACCAGATAAGAAGTACTATACAGGAAACAACAACAACAAGCTTAAGGAATTTAATAATTTTAATTTCTGTATTTGTGTTACTTTTATTATTCTGGAAACTTAAAACCTTTGTGGTTTTGTGTACTCCCATTTGGAGAGTAAAGCCTTCGTGGCGTTTTGTTGGAGATTAAAATCTACGTGATTTTTCACTCCAGTTTTAAACGTTTATTAAACGTTTGTTTGTGTCATTTTTACAGTAAAAATGGCGAATGACGGAAATCAAGCTGCTCCGATGATGACTGCCAACGCATCGACAAGTCGAACTCCGGCGTTGCCACCGACAGAGAAACCCGGAAAATTTTCCGGGATGGATTTCAAGCGCTGGCAGCAAAAAATGTTCTTCTACTTGACTATGTTATGTCTACAGAAGTTCATCAAGGAAGATGTTCCTGATCTTCCAGATGAAACTCCAGAGAATGATAGCTTTCTCGTGATTGAGGCGTGGAAGCATTCTGACTTCTTGTGCAGGAATTATATTCTTAGCGG